GGCTCGCTCCGCGGCCTCAGCGTGCAGCCCCCTGCGAGCAACCGCCACAGCCGTTACCGCTCCGCGCCCCGCCAGGCTCGGCCCGACCCCGTACGCACACCCACACACGCTCCGATTCCAAAGCCTGCCTTCTAACGGCAGTGCAACGGCTCCCCCCTTTGCGTCTGTATGGAAAAAAATCTAGGAAAAAAAATACTGAAGTGGTGGTGATCCTGCCATGCCGACTAGAAACGCCATCAAGGCTGAAGGAATGAAAGTCTGCCTCTAGAATACATGCCTTCGTACACTGACATGTGAAGAGTCAGCCTTCAAAAGAAAACCCCAAACCCACCCAAAAACTATGCGTGACACTCTGTATTTCTACAACATTGTTCTAAACACACGCTGTTCAACAGCTCACCCACTTGTAGGTGAAAGTAGTATCCCACAACGTAGAATTGCTAATACCTAGAAACTAACTGTACTGATTTAAATTTGGGAATTTAGATATTCCTGTAACCAGCGACAGCCTGTTTTCTTTCAGAGCGTGTAAAGAAGTACAACTTTAAAACAAACAGGTAAACTTCATTTCAAAATGGAGCGAATTAAGACAGAATTATCCTTGAACACAAGGCAGCTTTCTAAAGCAGTAATTCACATGGAAAGGAATCATCCATAATCAAGAGGCATTTTCAGTATTTTTTACAGAAAAAAATTTATGTTTCCATCTAACCTGAAGTGCTCCCAGCTTCCTCAAAATCAATATTTCCAAGGTGAAGGACACCAGCCACTACTCTAAAAAGATCAAGTTTTTCTGCATCATCCAGTCCAATCTTTTTCATTGCTGTGCACATTCTGTTGAAATCTCCATGATCATCTAAGAGTGGATCCTTCAACGAACCTGCTTTGAGATACTACAGAACAGCAAGATAAACCAAAAATTCAGTGAGTGAGTGTAAAGTAAATGTACGCAATTATTTCCACTCAAGAATAAACCATAACAAAAAGCATGCCAAACTAAGTAGAAAGAGATCAGAGCTCTTCATAGAGTACAGGTTTTGCAAGAACACTAATTTATTTTAATTTGTTGATACTTTGAAGCATGATCTTCAAACTTCAAACTATCTTCAGAAAGCAGAAGCTGGAGAATGGGACAGCTAAGGACAGGGGAATACAGGACAGTGAGCAGTGGAAAGGAAGACTTTGGCTAAGGGACCTGTTGAAGCAATTGTACAGAGGGGCGCTTCTAGCCCCTAGCACCTGAAAGAAGACTGAGGTCCTTGTAACAGGATGCCAGAAAGTCTGACAGGGCATGGGAAAGGAGTATAGGACAAATCGGAACTGGAAGAGGTATCCCTATCCTAAACAGCCTTATTTAGAGAAATATACTTGTTAATGTTTCCTGGTGATTAAGAAACAGAAAAGTTGTTTGCAGTGTTCTATCGGTTAGAAGAATACTAGCTACGTTTTAAAAAAACAATTTAAGATTTTGCTAATTTTCCTAATTTAAATACATCAAAAGTCATTTTAACTATTAGCAGGTTTAAATAGTAGATAGTAACACATCTGCATGCAAACAAGAGACTAACTGAACATGCACAGACTGAGCTCTGTTTTTACAGTTACTTGAAAATGTTTTCAACTAAAAAGAATAACTAAATGGAGGCCTTACTAATGTCAAATAAGCTAACATGATTTTTATCAAAACAAAACACCACATGCATCTGAAAAATTCACTTCACACAACATTTAGACATAACCAGTAACATTAAACTACATCTTAATTATGTAAAATGATCACCTCATCTTCCTGATAAGGAAAACATAAAAATATTTTAAGTATTAATTGATTATTCCAGCTACTTTTATTAAAATAAACAATCTTAATATTTTTCATTAAATGACAGAGCAAATATTAAATTTCAGATTTAAAAACCTGAACAATGTAATATATTTCCTGTTTAAGTGGCTAAACTACGTTTAAATATCATTGAAACTTGATTCTTTATTGAGCCTTCAGATTGACAGGGCTGTAACATACATGTCTTACAGCATCGTATGTTCCACTACTTAATGTCTAATACATATTTTCAAAATTACTCTCTCAGTATGTCTTAGTTTAGACAAACACTTATTTCAAATTAAGTCCTTTAGAGGACATGTTTTATGACAGAACACCCGCCTGTAAATCACATCAGTAACAGAAGATTGCACAAGTTCATCTTCCAGTACCAAGAATAAGTGCATGTTGATACTTTATGCCTACCTAAATGACCAACTTCACCACGAATCTTTATTTAAGGCAAATTAGGTAAACTGAGGCAAAATCTCCCAACCATCTCTTAGCCTATATTCTTTGATAGGAATTAAATATCTACCAGCTTTCTGCCTCACAGTAATATCAAATCAGCATTTCTGTATCTCACTCTCCACCATCCCTGATTACAGAAACAGCCTACATTCATGCAAAAGAAACTGGCATTACGTGCTCAGTGTTACAACATACAAACACTAGAAATCCAGAAGTAGATTTTACAACGTTGACTTGAGCAAAGGAAGTATCTATACTGTCTCCCATAGCTAGGCATGAGCTACGTACAAGCTCAAGCCCAAGTTCTCAAAGGTAAAAGAGATGGTATGGTCATTGGGGGAGAGAAGCTCTTGAGTAAAGTTATCTTTGTATTTTTCCACATGTATATGCAGCTTGCCCTGCTACTGAATCAAAAAGTACAGATTTGATTAAGATTTGAGGTATCTTCCAGCTATACAAATGAGAAATTCATACTTTAGGTATGAATAGATGAAAATCGTATTAGAGCCCAGAGCAAAAGCTTAATGAAGTGTTTAAATAACTTCCAATTCACATATGCTATTAACTCGGATCAAATTCTTTAGTGTCCTCATGTCAACAAGCTCAAAGGCTTAAATGCTACAAATTCTGGTCGTTCCAGTTTTAAAAAACGTAAACAGAGATGGAGCAAGATGAAAGAAATATTCTGAAGTTTCACACTTCCTTCCAGGAAATGCCATGTTCTTCTGTAAGTCACAGTTCACAGCAAGGGGACAAGAAGAATACAGTGTACTGGGGAGGTGGATATACTCGTGCTGGAAGCAAGGATCCTCTAATGCATCCCTTCAAAAATCCAGACAGTAAAAATGGCTCTGGATAAAACTACTGCTTCTGACCTATTCCTAGCAGTAGTAAGATTTAGAAAGAAAATTACAAAAAGTCTTGAATAGATTTTTTGTTTTCCACAGAAGACAAGCTGCATCATTAATTGTTACATTATTACAAGAATGAAAAGGAAATAATTTTATATACTGTTACATTTGGGGTTTTAAGATGCATGTTAAAATGTATTTCTAGGACTGAACTCCAAAACCAGAGTTCTGAATATACCAGCTTTGACAGTACCCATTTAGACCTATAAAGATGTGTAAAATGAACATTTCATTCCACACTGTAAAAATGTAATCATCATTTTCAACTCTCTCTGCCTTAGTCAATAATATTAAACTAACTGAAGATACAAACATACCTCAGGACTCTTGCGATTTTGCAAAATCTGCTTGTCTGTTTCTTTGTTAGCAAAGTATCTGGTACAGCCTCGATTTAAATACTGTAACAATAAAAAAGTGGAAATGCATACTTAAAGACAGAAGTGAGGAAAATATATACTTTTATTTATGGCTTGCTCTACATAGCTCGATTTAATCATACGATACCAACAACACAGTAGGTATTCAGAATTCGTTCCTTGAAAACATATTTATTTACATCTACAAAATTACAAAAGTGCAACAGTAACAAACTTCTATGGAAAGCTTCTCGATTTTGACAACTAAAATACCTTTTGACACAGCAGGATATTAATTTTGTTAAGTCCCACAATCTTTTCTTAATATTTGATTCTACTAAACCTATTAATGGAGTCTGGGATTACAGAAAAGACAATCAAAATTAGGAACCAAGAAAATAAATTTTCTGGTCTATGTGTGATACCAAACTTTACTCATTTTTTCCTCACCAGCGAAGTATTTCTACAGCAGTAAGAGACATAGCATATTAAAAAGCCTGAAGAGCATTAAAAGCCTGTAACAGGGTACAAGCAGAAGCCTAATTCAGAATCTGGCTTCTGATATCCACCTCATGTGGTACAGTAAAGGGAATAGAGCAGGCATTCAGATAATGACCGACACTTCCAGCAAAATGGGATCGCCAGCTTTTTTTTTTTTTTTTCTAATTTGTTCAGCTGAAAGTAAGAACTCTGTCCAAAAGCTTGGACAGAGCCCTTTGTCTAAAGGAAGTGAACTGATTCTTTGCTCAAGCCCATGAACAAACAAGTTGTTTTCAACTAGGTGAACACAGATATTTCTACAGTTTGATTCAAATTTATAAACAAAAATCTAAAAATATATATATATATTCTTCAAAGCATTTCTAAGAGTAGAAGAAAACTAGGTGACAAATTTAGTATTAAAGCAAAGTGACAAGAAACACTGTTCAAAGTTAGTTTGGTGTTTAACAAAATACTGAAAAGTTTTTTTTATCAGCCAGTAAGAATGCAAAGCACGGCATATTTTAAAAACAATATATCCCTGTATTACAGTATTAGTAACACAATCCCAAAAAATGGGGATGGGAAGTGAAAAAGGTTGTACTTTTCAAGAGGAGGGTGCGGAAACTTATCTGACAGGCTGAGAATATAAACCAGTCCTTTTTTTTTTTTTTTTTCACAAACTCTGAAGTACAACACCCCATTATAACATCAGGGACCCAAACACAGGGCAATCTGATGTCTCTTCCAGAAATTAAGATGTGAAAAAAATTCAGCTTCTCATCTCCCTCAACTATGCTCCAGGTACAGATTTACTGTGCAGCTTTACGTTCAAAGCCACGTGGTGAAGTCCAAGGCACCCAGACCTACGAGGTTCAGCACAGGGCTACCCAAGGACTTTGAATTTCTGCAAACTTCTGCAGGGGAACCTAAACCACGAGCACCCAGGACTGCATGCTTTCGTGTGGGTGTGCTCAGAGGAGGGCTGCATAAGAAACCTGGAACTTTTCATAGTTCTTTGCCAAGTAAATTCACACTTCCCCAGAGGAACTGCAGAGGAAGGATGAACTAAGGGAGAGGTAACACCCAACAGAACTGCTGAAATCCAGACGCCAGGTCAGGCAGGTGCAGCCAGGTCAGTTGTCTTGGTTCACATGCCCAGAGCAACTGCATGCCTACGCCAAGATGACCAAATGCATGGGCAGGAGATTACAAGGGATCACTTAAGTCAAGGGGAAGCCAGCCTACTAGGGGGAAAAAAAAAAACATTAAGTTATCCTTTGTCTTTGAATATTGTTTCACTTTTGTGAAAAATGAGAATTATTTTAGATTTGAGACAGTCCTATATTTTCAAGTGAGTATAATTAAAGAGAAACTGGGCACTAAGCAAACCACAGTGGACTGTTAGGACCCAAGTTGGCCCTAATCTGGACTTTGACTTGATATGCCACAAGGCACAAGACAAGTGGCACAACACAGCCAATGCAAAACTGCATCTTTAGGGGTAGACTGTTCTAAATAACCAATTTAAGAGTATCTTTTTTTTTCCTGAATCATGTGCTTCTGCTGCCCAGGGAGGTGGTAGAGTCACCATCCCTGCAGGTGTTTAAGAAAAGATTGGACATGGTACTTGGTGCCATGGTCTAGTTGACACGGTGGTGTTAGGGCAAAGGTAGGACTCGATGATCCCAGAGGTCTCTTCCAACCTAATCGATTCTGTGATTCTTGTCCAAAAAATTAGCATTAATATCAAAACACTGATCAATCATCGAAGTTAGCCTAGTATCATATCACCATCTATTATTAGAAGCTTGAAAGATGGTATTTCCATGAAATTTGAACCAGCCAGACATGCAGTCAACAAAAAATGTGGGAAAAAAGCAACACAATTGTGATTATTCAGAGTCATTTTATGATAAAACCTGAAGCAGCAAATAAGAATGAAGAACACAAAAAAATAATCTTGACAAAAGTAATACAAATGTAGAAAGAAAATTAACCTTTTACAGGTCTTTTTTAAAAATCTCCTATAAACCAATACTTCATGAAAATGTAGTGCAACATGACTAATAAACCTTATTTATATTCATTCACATACATACAAAAATGAAAATGATCCTAAGGGTTTTTTTTTTAATTAAAGATAACCTACTTTAACTTCAAAAGGGGAAAAAAAAGTGTTAAAATTTTTAAATTGAACACGCAGAGTGGACCTTTCACGTGCAGCAAGGAACTTGGGATTCAAATACTAACTTACAGTAAAGCAATAAATATTCTCAATGGAAATGAAAGTACCTGCTGCAAATTTAGCAGAAGTCAAAAAAATTATGTCACGGTGTGATAAGGCTGGTGTGACTGTAAACTCTTTAAAATTGAAACATGCAAGTGAGTGCCTTTACAGAAGGCATTCTGGCTGTTCAGTACTGCACTGCACCAGCCCTGATTTGAAGCAGGTTATAATTCCGACCTTGACATCTACAATCTTGGGTGCTCTCATGAGCAGAGTTTTTGATTCAAAAAAATCCCCAGGAGTGGGCACATAACATACTCAGTTCCAGAATTAAAAATCTATTAACTACAAGAAATAATGGAAATGTGGCTGCACAATAAAAGTATATACTTGAAAATTTGTTCAAGATTTCAGCTTTAAAACATACAAGAGAATATTGCATAGAATAACTGCAGAGTAAAGAAGAAAGTTTTGAAAACTAGCTCCGTACTATATAAAAATAAATGGTGTTGGGTTTCTTTTCAAGTATTGTGTTTGTCAGGTGTTTCAAAAGAAAAGCTTTCCTTCTAGAGAACAGAAGCAGTTCTTTCTTAATAAGCATCAGATCAAGTTTCCATCGCACAACTGAGTACAAACAGACGAACTATAAGAAGATGCAAACTAAATATTTAAAGAAATAATATAAGGTCTATAAAGGCCCTTAGGAACACCTTTGAGGAAGTAAGGAAACTTGTCCTACAATACTGCCATGGCTTTTACGGAGCAAGACCATCTAGATACCACAGTCCAAACATATGATGTGCACAATATGGAACTGCAGCTCTGTGCCCGCTTCCTGGCTCATCAGTAAGCAGATGCTTACTTGGCCAAGCCAAGAGGCAGCACCAGCCGGTGCGGTGACCACTGGACACCTGCATTCCCTCCAACGAGGGCTCTGCTTTAGGTCTCACCTATGCCAACACTGCTTTGCGCAAAACTAGTAGGAGCTTTGTATCTTTAAGGCTTCTAGCCCTCTGCTGAATTCTGATGAAACTGAATAGAAAAGATTGTGGGGAAAGTAATAGATAGGAACAGTCCAAATTTTATTTAGAAAACCAAGTAGGAAAATGCACCAACAAAGAAAATAATCAACACCGTAACATAATTCCTTAGCAGTGTTCCTCACCTCATTTAAGATCAAGGCAGTCTAAAAATATGACAGTGAATCAACTTATGTCCTCGTAATTCCACATTGTCGGAAATGTTACAAAACCCTTCCAAACCTGCAGCAGAGATTTGGTCTGTGTATTTTAATAATACACAAAATTCTGCTTCTGTGAGATTCCAAGCCAAGCATAAGCCAAAAAACAGTGAGAGATGAAGACAAATAACAGAACACAAGCAAACAACTGACCAGTATTTACCAGTAGGATTTGATTTGCAATATTTTTCTTTTCAATGCAAGTCAACAAAGGACACGGTGATATTTGTAGATCTTTACAGTTCAAATGTCATTGTCAAGAGGAAAAACAAAACTAAACAAAAACCTAATGATATAATTAAATAACAGGAATAGTGTTTGAAGGCAAGAGTCTTCACCTTACTAGCAAAATTGGTGATGACAGCGTAAGATGTGAATAGGCTTAGAAGGACCTTGAAAGGGATGGCAGAAGCTTGCTTTGAAGAGAAAGAGAAGGGACAATCAGGAAAACAATGAGAAACAGCTGTATCAGTAAAGCTACACTGGTTGGATAAGAGTTCAATAATACTATTTTCTCAGGAAAAAAAATACTGTAATAATCGAGATGTAACACACTGAGAGATAAGGGAAATAGCACTGGAGTCAGGTAAACAGAACACAAAATAGAGAAAAAATTTTGACTGCCAAGAAGGGAAAGAAAGAAAAGGAAACATCATGTTGTCAATCATTTCTGAAAACAATTCAGTGAAATCTGAATATAGAGAAGGGGAGGAGAAAGAAGGAAATAATTAAAAGTTAAACTGTAGTAGTAAAAAAAAAAAAAAAAAAAAAGTGGAAAATGGGAGGAAAAGAATGCAAGAACTTAATGGTAGGACAGAAAGCCAGCCTGTTTGTGGGACTGCTACTAGAAACATTATACAGAATGAGAAGAAACCACATAATCTCAGAAAAGGGCAAAACCCCTAAAAATAAAGCATGGGGAGAAGAAGGGAAGGCAGTAAACAAATCAGAAGTCGTAAGAACAGGCACAATGGATTGAATTAAAAAGCTCATACTATCAAAGAGCTTGTCTTCAACCATGACCTCTGCTTCACCCAAGGATTTTACTGCTCCTTTCCGAGTTGGTATGACAAAACTGTGTATGCGATTTACAAATATGTATGTATGTTGCAGCATAACTCACTATTTCATTCTCCTTTCCTTTCCTAACAACTCCTAAAATTCTACTCTGCTTTTTCCCTGCCACTGAACATTAACCTAAAAGTATGCACAATGATTCAAGTCTTATTTCCCCGCTGTTTATGTTAAGTTCACTTTCATTTAGGTATAGTTAGGAGTATTACATTCTGCACTGATTTTATTTGCATTTTATTTGCTTCTCCATTACTTGAGTGACTGGACCAGTAACAGGTTGTGGAAAGATAGCCAAAACTCAGAAATAATAAGTAGTCCTCAGGAAAGAATAAATTAGATGAAGAAAAACCTAAGAGGGAGGATCATGCTTAATGAATAGAAGTAATTTTGGCAGGAGGAGCTGAGCATGGGCTTTGGATCAATTGGAAATCAAAGGGTAAGCTTTCAGCTGAAAGGGACTGGTGAGTCTTACCATATAATCTGGAGTGACCAAGAATGACAGAGGAGTATGATGAGAAGAATGGGAAAGGCTCAAATTTGGAGCAGTACAACTGACAATCTAGAGCATGGAGTATAGTATGATAGGAACAAGCTGCAACAGAGTATAAAAGTGATGTGAAAGCACATGCCTGGAACAGAGAAACATAACAATCTTTGCATCGTAGTCTGATCTTTAGTGGGAAGCATGAAGAAAGAATAATTTAAGAGAGAAAATAATGGGGGGACAACTACATCTTCCTAAATGCATGGCTGGAATACAAAGAAATAAATGCAGTTTTCAGGACTTCAAAGATGGGTTACCCACGGAACAGTTAGATCATAATCAAGAAATTCACACTTTACAGCTCCAGAAGAGCCCATAACAACATTACTAACAGCTGGGTATGCAAGAGTACATTTTTTGAAAAAGTAAAGATTCCTCAATTTTAAGACATAAAGTAAAGGAAATCTTCCAATAAGGAAAAATGGCAGGCAGCTTTATTTCATCAAATATGTTTAACAAAAAATTATTCTGATTTTTGTAACAGGAAAGACTCTGTCAAAGATAATAAATAGAGAGTTTAATAAGATCTATATGAAAAATCCATGTATGGCAATATGAGAAGCTTTACAAATGCTGACTCTGATACTCACCCTAAAGTTGTCAGGAGAGCTTAGATAAAGTTTTTCCCTAATGTCTTCTGGAGCACCAGCACAAAGCCTGTAAAATATATGATAATTCCTCTCTTCTTTGCCTTGCACGCAGATCCTAGATTTCTCCAGAAGGTAATGTGACACAAATCCACCAACCACCGAGTTCTAGGAAAAAGAAATATTTTTCTGATTATCAGCATACTTTTTGGATTATTTGAGATTCAGAAGTTTTCAATTTACATTTGTCTGATCATGGCTTACTCAATGGACACTGCACCAAAGAAGATTAAAATATATCTACACCTAATACATATTAAGCTTAGAAAAGAAACAATTGCCTTCACCATAACTTCTACCCCCACCTCATGTACTATGTATACATATATTCCTCTTAAAAGAAGGGTCTGCTTCACCTCAACAAATTCTTAGTAGAATTCCAGCAATTCCTGCAAAGAGCATTGCTACAGCCACCCTTACACTTTTTGGATGGCAGTAAATGCATCACTGTGCTATTACAACCTTCTCTAGTTGTATTTCACTGAGACTCTTGCAAAGGAGAAGGAAGGGTTAAAATTAAAGACTACATATTTGGACAACATCTTAGGCAGACTAATTATGAGCGAACTTTTTATTTCAAACGCTTGCACTTCTTTTCTGAGATGGAAGTCTGACACAGATTTCAAAAGCCATTTGTTATCTGGCCTATGATAAAATTCCCTGTGCCTAGACAAATCTTAACAGTATGGAAATTCCTGAGCTTATGGCCATTATAGCAGCTAAGAAGGACTTACTGACTGACAAATTTGACTATGGTTACGCAGTCATTCGCTCATTCAGGAGGCCCCAGTCTGTACTCATATTGCTTTGAGAAACCAGACCTAAGAAGGTCACCACAGAGTGAAGTCTTGTGAAGTCTCATAAAAAAGGGCCTCAAGTAAATGGGCTGATCCTGCACTGGAAAGCTGAAACTGCTTTAAGCGGTTTCTGAAGATACTCTGAGTGCTATTTGCTTCAGTTGAAGCAATTAATCTGAAACACCACCTAAGTGTTGACAGAGAAGTTGACAGGTCATGAACGCATCATTCCAAGCGGAAATTTGGGTCCTTTCCATAAGATTATTAACATGAACTGCACCAACAGATAAAGGTCCTCTACCCTTGAAGGAATTTAGTTATTTACTATCTAAACTATTAAACAAAACCAAGAGATGAACACTTAGGAAAAGACCACAAGCTCAAGACCAGATGATGAGCTTAAACTCTGCAGGAAGGAACGGCAACAATTTGTTTCTTTATGTCCTCAGTCAGAAAGATGAGGCGGCACATACACAGTCTCTACAGGGATCATTGACAAAAATCTTCAACTTGGACATGCTGGACAGCCATACAGTCATCCTTAATTGTGGAATATGTGCATGCATACGCTATCCAAACAAAAATACACCCGAAGAAAATTTTTCATAAGCTGCACAGTGAATAGTACTTCTGAAAAAAACAAACAATTCCATGACTTCTGTCACATACATAATACTAATATGAGGTCCCAAAATCTCCTACAAATGCATAAAAGCATCAATAATTCATTTAAAGTATCAAAGCATTAAAATATGTTTATATCTGTTTATGTCTACTATGCAGCTCACACTTAGCAACTCACACTTATTTGTGCATTAAAGGACTGCATAAATACTTAACAGCAAGTATAATATTCTTTAGATATGCTTTTTTGTAATGAAGGGAACGCTTTTTATTCTTTTGTGGATGGAAGTAATTTTCCTACTGATTTGACCCACTGTTTTCCAGCAGTGACACTGTACTGTGTGGCTTCAGTTTTCCTTTCAAGGTGATAAAATACAAATCAAATCTGTAAAGTAGGACAGTAGCTACTTGCTGCAAGATTAGTAAGTCTATCCAGCCTACTGCCAGTCTAGCGTTTCTATTTCATGGCAAAAAAATCATCACTGGTTATCTGTAACAAAATTCCAGTACCTTTTCATTGAAGTGAATTTCAACAAATTTCCCAAAACGACTGCTGTTGTTGTTGCGAACAGTCTTTGCATTTCCAAAGGCTTCTAATAGGGGATTTGCTGTTCAAAAAATTAAAATTAAAATTTTTGAAGTGTTAAAATTTGATCAGTGAACTACCAAAAAGAAAGAGAGAACAAATACATACTCATTATTCAGTTAACTATTTGGGAATAAGGTTTGAAAATTAAAGGAAAAATATTACCTATTAGGTAATAATCAATTTTGCAAATTGTACTAGATATACTGTAGTGGAACTTAAGGTGAAGTACTTAAATATCACATAACACTGCAAAGTATTTGAATCAATACTGTAAGAAATTCAGAGACAAACACTGAAAATTATTCTGTGATGTTCTTCTACAGCAAGTAGGTAAATAACTGATAGATAAACTATAGGAGACAACACACAATTTGACACTTCCCAATGAGTCCCAATTCATAAAATCTAAACTACCCACTTATCCCACAGACAAAAATGCCACTTAAATGTCATGCATGCAACGTTGTTAGATTGATTAGGGAATTAAAAAAAACATATTAGAAGAGTGTGTTGATTTCACAAACAACTTAAAAATGCCCTTTCAAATTAGGTCAAGTAAGTGATTGAGTTATTTTATTTTTTACTGGCTGCTGTTTTCAAGTGCCTTAAAGCCGATACAGAAAGAGTGGCAGCAATCTAATGCATATATAAAGAGAGATAAAAAATCATGCCCAGTTTAAGCAGTTTGAAAATGCTTAGTAGTTATGAAACACAAGGCCTCTGAAAGACTGCATTTCACTAGCTCTGAAGATCAAAGAAAACTGATTTACGGAATTGCACTAACAATAAACCATTTAAAATATCTGCAAGATTTTTTAAGGCTTCTAGCTAAACGCACTGGAAACTAAGTGAGAAGAAACATAGATTTAAAACTCCACCAACAACCATCTGCAAATTTGCTCGCACAAAAATTAAAGAATGAAGGAGTAACTACAACGCTTGGATAAAGTATGGATGATAATGCATCATTTAGTAGGACATCATAGGCATTAACTTTTTTGTTTTGGTTAGATTTTCATTTTTTTAATACTTAAAGCTTATGAAAATGCAAATCTGACTTTCAAAACTGACTTTGAAGAAATCAGAACTATTCAGGTATCTTATGTAGTATTAACAGTTTTAAAGAAAAGATTCTGAATTAAAAAAAAATTGCAACAGGTCTTTCAGATAGGTTAACGGTTCCTCTAGTAATACATATATATGCTGTAAGCATGCTCATTAAAATCGTGCCTAAAAAACTTCAAAATTCATGCATCAGCCACTGGTTTAGATTTAAAAACCCAAACTCTTCTAAGAATACCTACAAGTACCGCTTAATTTTATGGCATACTGCGTCAGGCATTATCCAACTCCTGGCCACTTTCTGAATTCCTTTAGCACACAGTGGATTTCACTAAGGAATTGGTTTAAGCAAACCTATAGCAACAAGAGATTAAAACATCCAGTACTTCTCTGGAATAATCCAGTGGCTCAAATTTGAAAACAGAAAAATTTAAAGCAAAAGTAAAAAATTTTGGTTTAAGAAAAAGACAGACAGCAATGAAATTCCAAAATAAATCTACTATATGCTACAGAAGACTGAAACTGACCTGTAAGGTATTATTAGATTGGCTGAGGTTGTTTGGTTTTGAGATATTTATATTTTCTCAAAAAGTTATTTTTCTGTTCAATTAGGAAGTGCATGCAACATTAAAGAGTCTCAACTGGATGATCAAGACAGTCTCTTCTGACCTTGTTTGGGAGTCTACTATATAGATAAATACAACGAAAGCGTTAATCTGAACTATGTGCTTTCTGACAAAAGAGACGTAACAGAAAAATTACCTAGAACCACATTTTAAAAGAACTTCCCTGCTTTATCTGACTTTGAGAACTTTCTGGTGAGGACGACGAATCACTCTT